GACCCCACCGGGATATAAAAACATGAAACACACACATATCAGACATTCTCCACTCCTCAAAGCAGCACCAGGCTGTGTGTGCTTGGCGCAGAAAGAGACTGTGGAAGATAAAATTGTTCCCTAAAGGGCGGCTGTGTGTTTTGTAACTTTCAGCCTTTGGACTGGGAACACACACACATACGCATACATATGAATGGATAATGGCACTTTTCTCTCTCTGCAGGATGAGGACTTTGATCCAGTCCCAGAGATCAGGAAGGACCACTTTGAAGAGGCGATGCGATTTGCCCGTCGCTCTGTCAGTGACAACGACATCCGCAAATATGAAATGTTTTCTCAAACTCTGCAGCAGAGCCGAGGTTTTGGAAACTTTAGGTACACACGCAGTGTGCAAGTACAACAAAGCGTTTTCTTTGATTTCCTCAAGACGCAGTCAAGGCTCATTCCATTGTCTTCTCCACTTAGGTTCCCATCTGCTACTGGAACCCGGTCTGGAGGTCAGGAGTCAGGTTCTGGGTCAGGCCTGTACAGAGAGGAAGGCAATGATGATCTCTACCAGTGAGAAAAAACACTCTGCACAATGTTTTCCTCATGCTTGTCTTCCTCGGAGGAATGGAAACATAAGAATAATGGGAGTGCAAATGGGGAAGATGACAAAAAGGGGAAAACTTGGAGACATAATAGAAATAATAATTATAAAGAATCTTTTTTTAAAAGACGTCAAACAAGAAATCACATGAAAAATGTTTATCTCTGAAGGATGTCCTAAGGTTGAGTTTTTATGTAAAAACCACTGCACTTGTAAGACATAGTCACTGACATAAAAAATAGTTTTAACTATAATAACATCAGACTTTGAGTTTCCACTAATCTGTTTGCACTATGAAAAGTATGTTAATTTTGTGTATGTGTGAGTTTAAATGTGATAAATAAATTTATTTGTATGCCTCTTTGATCCCTCTTACAAGGTTTATACAGGAATACTGAATGCAGTATTTTACAGTTTAGAGTACTCTTAAATGATACTGGGGGACATGATGGTTTCCATTCAGCTGCTTCAGTTTCAGTGTCCTGGTATTGTGCACACCGGCTCAGTGTTATACTGTCATGGCTTACTGGGACACTTGAATAGAACGGAACCATGTTATTACTTTTCCTACTGTCATTAGTCAAAATGTCTGGCAAAAGGCCTATTTGATTGAACATAAATTTAAATGCATTGTTAATGCACAATACAAACTGAATAATTAAGGTGTCAAGACTAGATTTGACACAGGCTCCTCTTTAAGAGAGAGCCACAAGACTGAGCCACATTAAAGGGTCCTTTCACACATAGCGCACACGAATATACACACACACCGTGTCTACTAATGCACAGTCTCAATTTCAGGCCTTCAAATAATCAAAAAAGTTTATTTTTGAGAAATGTAAAGCCAATGCATTTTTCTGGAAATGTCCGGGGTTCTTTTTGCCTTAAATAATGGAACAACAACAAAAACATTTGACACAGTAAATCTCAGGCCTTCATGGCACCTGGGGTGGGGCCCTGGTGTAGATGCCGTCTTGGTAATTAAATATAAGAGTGAACTGTGTATGGTATACAACAGGGGTTTTCAAAGTCTGAGCCTGTGGGCCTCTCCTCAGGCAAAGCTTGGGAAAAGAGCCCCCTTCACCTCTATTAGTTTACTTGGTTAGTTTCACTTAATTCCTGGGTACATGGTTATTTTATTTGATCCCATAGACAACTGAGCCAAGATAGCCTAATATTACTGTTTGGCATGACTCCAGACAAAAAATACATTTAAAAAGGTCTTTCCTAGGCATTTGTTAGTTTCTGACTCTGATAATGTGTAAAACTGTATCCCCCCTCTAACTAAATCATACACATAGGCTATTCTATGTGATCTCCTTTTGATAACTAATCTAATATTGTTTCACTTCCATTCACTGAGCATCCCCTGAAACTGTTTGGAGCAGTGTTTTTTTTTTCCATTACCAATGCCAGTAAATACTAAGCTTCTGGAAAGAAGCGCAGCCAGCGGAACCTTTGTTGTTTGGCTGGAGGGAAGGGGTTTGACTGAAGTACCGCTCGGGTGTTTATTTCCGGCGTGAGGCGGAAGTAGAAGCAGGGGACTTGTGGAGGTGACCGAATGGCAGACTGCAGATTCGGTTTGGAAATATTAGATTAGCGCGCATTAGAAGCAACCAGAATATATTCATTTTAGCTAAAAGTGCGTGAACATCGTCGGTGCCATGGGAGCTCACCTGGTCAGACGGTATGTGACCGAGACTGACACCGAGCCGGACCCAGCTAGGAAAAATGAATTCGACCCCCAGTTTGGATTTCCAGAGAGGAAGGAGAGAGGTTTGTAGCTCAGGGTAAAAGACAACCGTATCATAAAATGTGTTGATAAGCATCTGGATTGAAATAGATTTCCTAACGTTAGTCCAGTGCGTCAAACGTTAGCCGAGCTAGCTTTGCTGGTTAACGTTAGCTTTCCAGCTAACTGCTGTCAGAGGACTTCAGTGTAAACTGAGCTGGTGTGCGGTGTAATACCCCTTTCTACTCTGCGGCTGCTTATTTTAACCATGGGATCCAACTTGTTGTTATATTATGCAACATCAAAATTATAATGTGATTGGCTAAAGTTCGTTCACGATTTAAATTCGGGTAATCGGTGTATTTTCTAACGTTAGCCTCTCGAAACACGGGCAGGGTGACAAGATCCCGATAACAACATATTTTTCACAAGGAATGATATAGTTATGATATTTCTGATGTATGTAATGACACTCAGTTATTTCTAATATTTTAGAGAAACCCGACTTAGTGTTGGTTTTATCAACAGAGTTTGTAGCACAGTTTTCAGACAAAAACAAAAATCCTGTAATATGTTTATACGTAATAAGCAGTAAACACTACATGTAGATATCCCGCCAAGCATTATCATAAGTTTCAGATTGTTCCAAAAGATAGAACATCACATTGAACTGTAAGGTGTATTTCAGTAGTATATTGATGATTTGTGCAGGTACAGATGCACGCAAAGGTGAAAGGTAAAAATCCACCTTTTAAAAGTACAATTGACATACATGTCTGCTGGAGAGATCATAGGGATTTTGCTAATTTAAAGTTTAAAGTCTGAACAGCAAAAAGGAATGTGATTTTGAGACCAACTATACAATATGGATAAAGCAACTCTTTAGGTGCTTTTGCATGAGAGACATGTAATACATCAAACTAAAATACCCCATGAAGCCAGCGTCAGTGGGTCCCACTTCATAAATGTCCGCTCTCTAGCTTAAGGATGGTGCATGGAAAGGTATTTAAGTTGGTTAGTAAAGCCAGTCTAAATGGCACTGTACCATGAAAAAAAAAAAAAAATGGTCTAATATTTGTTAGAACATCCTTTTAGACTTGAATGTATTATGAATATTCATCAACTCTGGACTGGACTTTCATAAGAGAGACGGTATTTGACCGCTCTTTAACACTCCCACAACCATCCATACAGTAACATCGGGTCCTTTTACACTGAAAGATGACACTGAAAATTTGTGTCCCTTTTGCCAGAGATGGTAGCAAGCCAGGAGCAGATGAACTTGGCCCAGCTGCCTTTGGAGCAGAGGGACTTTTGTGCCCAGTACCTCCTGAAACTCATGAAATGCAAGAGGGACAACTGGCCCAACTTCCTGGCGTGCAAGCATGAGAGACACGACTGGGACTACTGCGAACACCAGGAGTAAGTGTTTACAGTAGCGTTAAAGACACTTCAAAGTGTTTCAGTCAGCCTTTTTTTTAGGATTTAGGATTGACTCTCCTAGACAGTTATGCTTTTAGCAGACTCACCTACTTGGTTTAACTGTATGGTAGACCTTTTGATAAGTGTTCAGGAAAAACTGAGGTGTAAGCTTTCTGCAGGCAGCAGTTGCTTATTCATGAAGGGTTCACCAGTAAAACCACTCATGCTAGGCGACATGCTGCAGATTATCAGATACGAAACAGATCTAACCCATACATTACACTGGCTGGCTTCCTCTCAGTAACATGAGCTTAGTGTAAGTCAAGACACTGACAAAACTTTGTCACCACGAAGTCCACTAAGTAGCTGAAGTTTTCAGTCGTATCACACAATCTTCCTCAGCAGATGGAGTTGCCCAGTTGTGGAATTGTACATTTTCAATTTTGTGAGCTTTTGAAGGACTTCTCATCCATGTTGGTTTGAAAAGATCTTTGAGACTGTGTAAACTAAGCAGCTAGTTTTTCTCAAAGAAACCCTGATGGGTTTTTTTTCTCCTTAATTGCCAGGACCAAGTTTCCCAATGTTATCATAGCTCAAAGGTTCAATCCATGTTAATGTTGGTATATTCAAGATCCTCAACTTCAGATTTAACATTTTTTTAAACTTTTAATCTTGTCAAAAGGGTGATACTATACACTCACCTTTTTGTTAACTGTGTACCCTGTGTTTTTCTGTCTCTAGCTATGTGATGCGTATGAAAGAGTATGAGAGAGAGAGGAGGCTCCAGCTGAGGAAGAAGAGAATCGAAGCTCAGGCTGAGGCTGCATGATCAGCCTCTGATACCATTTCTCTGTATATATGTGCTGTGGTTCACAATAAACAATATTGTTTAAGCTCTACAACCCTCAAGTCTTATTAAGTTACTCTAATGACGTCACCAAACACATTGGTGTGATCGTTGGTAGACAGTGAGATTTTAATTTGAGATTTTTCATTATCTGTGCCAAGGAAGCCACGGTACAAGTGAGTAAGTTTTTGGTTCATTTAGCGCCACTGAGTGGCCATTTACAAAGCACCATATCGTTTTGGCTCTAAACTCTACTCTTTGGCTTTAACTCTTTGGCTTTAACTCTACTTACATAGACTACAACTATTTTCAATGTTTAGCCGGAGGTTTTTTCTCACTCATGATAAATTTTATCCATTGTCACCAATGTCTCTATACCTTATTATAGTGGATACGTCTGAAACAGTGAATCATTTGTTTTCTAGTATTTTATTGTCAAATTCTTGCAGGTGTCTGACAAACTGCCAAACACTTTGAACATATTGTGCAGTTAACACCAAATTTAGATGACGCATGCACAGGCTGTAAAATTTGACTGCGTTTTGGTGACACTACATTGACAACAAGTCCCATTCACTCTAAACTCTGCAAAATACATCCATGTACAAAATTCCAATATTCCCATACATCAGTAGTAAAGTCTGTGATACATGACCCAGCACTGCAACAACACTTGGGTTAACCTTTTTTTAATAAATTACTTTAAACATCAACACAATTAATTTATGTTGTTTTCAAATTTCGATCAATGGGTATAAAAACCTAACAGTTTTAAGTTTTACTGAATATCACCAGATGCAGATTTGGCCTCAAAACAACAGATGACATCTTACAGTATTTATATACAGTAGGTCATTCAGCATACACTGGCTAGTTTGCAGGTGAACACTGCTCTGGGAACTGAAACGCACACAGGTCAGCTAACCAATTAGAATGGGTTTGTGTGTGGGTAAAAAAAAAAATTGAGCAAGTGTAGTGTTTAACATTTTCACAAGACAGGAAGGGAAAGACAATTTGGTTGATGGGGGGTGGGGGAGTCCTTCAGTCAGTCTGCTAAATTCCAGTGTAGAATTTTGAGGATGGAAAAAAGGGAGGGCACCCTCTCAGTTAAGGGTGGGGTCAGAGAGGCGGGGGTGTACTTTACTCCTACAAAAGGGGAAAGCTGAATGGGTGAGGGAGCGGCCGAGTAGTCCTCTACAGGACAAAGGGCAGGATGGGTGAGCGGAGAGGAGGGTAGTCGCGGAACTCCTTCAGGTAGCTGCGGTGCTTCCCCTTGGCCCACACGGTCATCTGGATGAAACCCACTAAGGTGAAGAAGGCCACCGGCAGGCACTGAGTCATCACTGTGAAGCCAAGCCAGGAGCCCAGCTGAGGAAGAGGAGGGATGTTACACACAGACTGATACCAGAAGAGGGCAGCAGCTGTAAATCATGCAGAGGTTAAAACTTCCGGCTGTGCAATAAATGTTTTTTTAAGGTAAATTCCCAACTCTGCTTTCAAGCCATCGATGCCATGTTCATGCAAAGAAAATTCATCTGCCATCACTTGATGAATAAAAAGTGTTACCTCATAGGTGTAGTTTGGGCAGGAGACCAGCAGGAAGATCCATGTGAAGGGGTTCTTGGTTGGATAGGGGATCTTCCTGGTCTTAGAGCCTGGGTGAAGGTAACAAAAGAAAGGGAATTTCAAAGGAAATTAACATCTCCTTGTTACTATGTTCACTATGTTGTTCTCTGAAGTTTGAGGTGGGAGGGGCTTAGCTGGGAAAGAGTGATGTCACATTCTTTTGCACACCAATCAGAATTTAGCAATATCTGGATGAGGATTTTTTTCCTTTTTTAAATTTTTTTTACATAACTTAGATTGTTGCTTGTTCAGTCATGAATTGATAATGTCACAGGAAAATACTTAATAATGTCTTCATGTTTTTAGGGACTTTAATTGGAAAGCACTCAAATATATTTGGGTACAAATTGATATGCATCATTTTCTTTATGATTCACAAGCCATGACAAAGGAAACACACAACTAAAGAACTACACAGCAAATATACTGTTTTTTAATAGCTTTATTACATTGCAGCCATTTTTTGAAAATAAATAAAAAGGGAAAAAAGAAAGCATAACTTTCATTGTGGCCAAAACAGTACAGTTGTTTCCGTGTGTGTGTGAATGACAGTCAGATGCACAGGTGTTGCAGGTGTGCATACCTGGTGGACGGAGGTTCCGAAGAGCAATGTGGATGGAGAAGTTGCCAATCTGACAGAACTGAGAAAGAAAACCGTCACACAAGTTATTTAATGATGAGCATAGCAAAAGATAAGGTGTTGTACACTTCTCAGGATGACAAAAAGATAAAAACTAATGGACAAAACTACAATTTAAAATATGTAAATGGAATGTTTACTAATATTTATCAGTCCAATTAAATGAAATGCACGATAAATTACAGAACACATTGTTGAGGATAGTAAGATTCTTACCAAGAATATGATGAGGGCCAGTCTGATTTGTTGCTCCCCGTAGACTGCAACAAGAGGTTAACACAAGAAATGATGAAAAGGAGTTACAGTGACACGTGTGACCGTTGAATGTACGTGCAGGTGCCTGCATACTCACTGGGTGGTGTGTACAGCGGGTGGTTGATGTAGTAGGCCATCCATGCTGCAAAGCCCCAGTAGTAGGTACAGTTCTGAAACAGAGGAGGAGACAGAAACATTGTCACGGAGACTTCCTCGTGGTGGTAGAGACACTTTTCCAATCAGTTATTCCCTTTTCACTCCATGCAACCTACATTACATGTTGCACATATTAATGTGAGGAAATATATGACACGGTTTGAGTAGGGGAATGTATCTCACCTTAAAGATGTTACGTAGAGGCATTGTTCCGTGAGAGAAGCGATGGACAAACAGCGTCTCCAGCAGCCTCTTCATGTAGTGGAAAGAGTGACACATACAGGCGAGGCTGGAAAAAGCACAGACACTTGTATTGAGGATCATTACCACACTGATGTGAAAAGAGCATGGCGTAAAAGGAATATTGTGATATTTAGGGATATTTAAAATGATACCACTCTAGTATCTGTACAGTGAACATGAAGCTGGAGCCAGCAGCAGATTAGCTTAGCTTAAAGACTGGAGACTGGGAAGTCTTGCTCTATATTATGCCACCTTATATTTATATTCCACCATATTTCAGTTAATCATTGTATTTTTGCTCCACAAAATGTATTTGGCAGCTCTACTTACATTGCAGATTTTCCATAAACAGTATATGATCAATTGTTCAATGCACAAAACCTCCTTCTATCAAGTCTTATTTTCCTTGTTTAAAAATAAAAACATTTCAATGCAAATCCCCATGTTTCTAGAAAAAACTTTTTAGAGCATTTTATGAACAAATCCTTGCCTAGTCTAAATTTTGGCACCACTGTGAATAGCAGTTATGGGATGGGATTAGAACAGTCTCACACACAAATATATCAACAAATGTAAAGGAGTTTGTATCTATAAATCTGGGTCCATTTCTTTGCCTCTAATTTAAAATCTAAATTGACATACAAATGATGACGTACGAGTTGTAAACTCTATCAAAAGGCTTTTTCTGCATATCTCACTTTTATTGGTTCTAAGCTGCATTTAGGTAAACAAAGTGCTGGTGAATAAATGCGCTCCTTTAATAAAACTGGTCTGGTCGGCATGTATGAGGAATGGAGTAACTGTTTCAATCCTGGTTGCTAAAGCCTTGCTAATATTTTAATGTCTGTTGATTAGTGAACTTAACCAGATTGCTCAGTGGGGTCTCCAATGGGTTTAACAACAGGATGATAATCGCTGTCGCTAGCGGGAGTTCAACTTAAAGAGGATACCTCTGCTCTGACTAAACCACTGGGGGACAAGAAGGCTCAACTTAACTATATAGAGTTTGTGAAGGAGTGTTGGAGAGACTCACTGTACGACCCAGTGTTTACTAGTGGTAAAGTCATATTTGGGTGCGTAGATGAAGGGAACCCTGAAGTAGAACATCAGATAGATGACCAGGGGACCAGTATACTCTGTCAGGAAGACCTGAAAAAAAGAAAGTAATTCAATCAAACACTAAGTTCATTTTAGGCTCTGTTTCTTGATGTGTAAGATCAGTATATTAATATATCAACTTCCTACTGCTTGTTCTCTCTCCTGCCTCTTCAGCAGGTCAATACAATTTAACACTAACAGTGAACTTCAATGCACCAAATTAACCTCATGTCACACACACGCACACTTTTTTACCCAGCGGGAAATCTCAGTATAGCTCTGCTTGATCCCCCTCGCAGTCTGGACTGTTGGACTTGACTGACAGCGCGACGTGTTCCCGTCTTGGACGGCTCTGTGTCGTACTTACCGTGACCCAGCTTATCTGGGCTCCCAGATCTCTGAAGTAGAACGTTGCCGTGGTTCCCACAGGGAGATGCTGCAGCACATCCTCATCCTTCAGAGACTTCCCCTCTGGAACACACACAGTGCTTACTTAATGAGGAGTTGGTTGTAGAGAGGAGCGGTACTACGCTCATTTTAAGTGCACTGATAGACAATCACATTATGGCTGACTTACTGGGATCGAGGCGAATGGACTGTCTGGCTGGGTACCACTGAGGATCTGAAACAGACAGATGAATACTTCACAGACATATTAAGACAGGGCATAAAGTGAGTATTTCTGTGTGCAGCCTGAAGATTCGCTTGATCTAAAATCAGATTTATGAGGCTTTAGTTGCCTACAGAGAGATGGAACTCACGGCTCTTGTGGAACATAGACTTGATCTCCCCGATAGTAGCATTTGGCTCGACCTGAAAATACCACAATAAATAAATGGAGGGAAAAGTAAACACACACACACACACACACACACACACACACACACTCTAAGGAACAGATAATAACCCTGTTTTCCATTCATGATGGCAATTAGTGATAAATTTAGCTCTGGCAGTGCCCACACACCCCATGGACGAAGGCTATCTAACAGCTGGTATTAGAGTTTCAAAGAGGCTAAGCATGCAAGTAACCACAACCAAAGAACACGACCTTGTGCCAGGCTGCCAACAATGGCCTGACTACCCCAAATATAAACACAATAACAAAACAGAAACATGAAGAGCACAGGGAGGCGAGTCTGGAGAGAGATAGTTACAGGTAGGGATAATCAAGCACTGAAACCACCTGGACTGAATGAGGTCATTTAAAGTCATCACCATGCTCCCATTATCTGATCAAATGGCTTTATTTATTTATTCTCTTGTGGACTAACATTTAACTAATTAAATATCTTTCAAGTGAATTACTGATCTCCAACACACAGCCCAACTAGCTAACGTTACCATTAAGTGAACAAGGTTTACTATTCAGACTTAACAAAAATAGGGAAAAAGACAAGACAGCGTAGGATACTCCTAAAAGTCACTGATTTACTATTGCATTTAAAATAGCGTTCTCTTAGCCAGCACCATCCATGAGACCTCAAAACCAAGAAGGCAAAGAACTATGGAGAGGCTGCTCCAAGATAACAGTCAGGCTTTATCACCCAAAACAATAAGCTCACAATCTGACTTATTGCTAAGTAGATTTTAACTTTAAAACTTTAAACTTCTTAACAAAGATGTTTGCTTTGGAACCATTTAAAATAAAGGGAAATTAAAAGCAAGTACTATAACCACAACTGTGCACTAACAATCTAATGTCTATTTAGAATTATAAAGCAATAAAAGCTAACTGATGAGTTTCATCTGGCTTGAACAATGAAAGTTTATGGAATATTTCCCGATAATATTGCCTAAGGGAAGCATATATAAAGTGAAGAGGATTGGTCCGAGGACAGATCCTTGAGGAACTCCATGACTAACTTTGGCGTGCATAGAGGACTCATCGTTAACATGTACAAACTGAAATCTATCTGATAAATAGGATCAGTTACAAACAGAGTAAACTGGCGTAGCCTACAGCTCTATCCTGTTCAGACTGATTCAATTATTTTTTTAGTTTTCAGGTGAGTGTGAAAAAGTGGTTGTTCGGAAAAGAAAGGATGTGGTAACTGTAGAGAAGCTGAGGTTAGTAAAGCAAAGTAGTGATGCAAACTAGTCCTTTTAAGCTAATGAGGAGACATTTCTTTTGGGATTTTAATATGCAAATAAAATGCACCTCATAAGGGAGGAGGTTTCTCACATTGCCTATTTTTTTCAATATATATTAATGTCTACAGATAAATGTCAAAAGCTGTAAAATGAAGACACAAAAGGCAAACATGAACAGTCGTATCTATAATGATTCTGAGGTCATATGAACAGGGTTTTCCTGCTTTTAAGGCTTACGGGAGATGGCCAAAACATGTTGTGCAAATGTAAAAATCACTGTGGAGAGCATCATAACCAACCAAATTACTTTCCCCAAATCTAAAGGTTGTAGTTCCTCCCCAGTAGACTGATCTTTGGCTGTTCGTTATTTATTATCTGCTCTAGCTTTTCCAACTATTTGTTCAGAGATATGGTGAAAATAATGGCCCAAGATGATGTGAAATTACATATTTGTCATTGGAAATCATAAAATTTTCTTGGGGGGTGACCCCCGAACCCCCCGACCATGACCAACATCAAAACATTAATCTAAAGCTCACATTAAACTATGGCAAAACACTGTAGTTTTAAGCTATTCTAATGTGCATCACATGCTCATGGACACAAGAGCAATGTTGTGTTGGGGTTTTATATTCAGAAAATGTTTTTGCTTCACCTCCGCTGCTACAACTCCATCCTAGGGGAAACACTGGCAGGTGAGTGTGCACCCACAACAGCAGCTGCCTGGCCAAGCTCAGCAGCTGCGCCGAGGGCACCCTGCCCTGCCGATTTATGTAGGCTGGTGCAGCAAGTGCTGGTTCCACAGCAGAGGGGCAAAGTGTCAGACCACTTTCCACACCGTGAGACGCTCAAACACGTATACGGAGAGGGATGTGGGTCTGCCACAGACCGCCCACCACCTGAGAGAGGCAGGTGGCTTGACTGTGTATGTTTGTCAGTACTGCAATGGCGATGTGGTTTTCTGTGTGTTTGAGGAGCTGCAGCTGGGCTGCCTCAGGCCGACCATGGCGCTGCCGTTCCTTCTTCCGGTCGCGGCGGTGGGCGGGGGAAGGACTGCAGGAGCCACAGGATACGGTGAATCAGGATCAGCCAGACACATATCCGGGCAGCGGTGATGGCCGTAGCGGCGCACACTGAGCTGCGCGCTGGCCACTTTGATGATCTCCTCCTTCTCTTCTTCCATCATGGTGGAGTTAGCCACTAGCTTTGTGAAGGAGGAAGCAGAAGTTGTTGTTGGAGGCCGAGTTCTGGTCATGCGGTCGCCGCCTGAGCTGGCTTCACACCGAAGAACTCTGAGGTCCAGCGGATGGACCGGGCTGAAACCCTGGTCTGAGAAGCCTTCCACCTTGGTGTGGGGGATTTAGGTGGAAACAGGCACAGTCTTCAGGTCTGAGGCGGCACCTTCCTGGTACCGCCAGATGGGAGGGAAGCGCGTCCAGACCGGGTCCAGCCTAGCCGGCTGGCTAAGAGCTGGGACACCATCCATCTCATCCGGAGGAGAGAGCTCTTGGGCCGGGGGAACAGACAGCTGACAGCAGGCGGCCGTCTGGAAGGAGCCGCCTGGAGAAGGCTACTCGCGATCACTGAGGCCAGTGAAAACGGGGAGCCGCTCCTCCTGCTGAACAGTGAAATTATCCGCCTGATGCTGCCGCTCATCATGAGGAGGGCGCAGAACGGGCATTGTGAACCAGGAGTGAGTGCTCAGCCGGCGTGCTCCAGGCTGCACGTGTCTACATCATGCCCATTTGCAGACGCCGCACAACCGTATGGAAGGAGCGGTGCCTTGCCCTCGGCCGGTAAGCTTTTTAGCAGACATCGCTTTTCTCTTTTTCTCTCTTCGTATCTTCTGCTCTTTAGAATGCTCTTAGGCAGCTCAGAGCTGAAGAAAAATGGGAGCCGAAGGCTGGGTGGGTGTAGACAAGTTTTATCAGTGGCGGATCGGTATGAGGGTACTGACTTCAAGAACATCAAGTATCGGCTATCAGCCGGCATTGGTTCCAGCCCCCTGCGACCCTGTACGCAGGATAAGCAGTTGACGATGGATAGATGGATGGAAGCACTGGCTATTAAGTGGTTGATCCACTTTAATTACATTTTCTTTCAATTCATTCAGGCTGTTTTTAGAGCCATGGCATTTTCTGGCTTTGTGTTTTCTTGCTTAAAAAATATTCTAATGAGCTCCACATAGTGAGGTATACAGATTTTTAATATGGAAAGATAAAAACCCCACTGATATCAGATCAGTACTTGGCACATGTCACGAGTTGAAGTATTGGAATTAGTATCGGCAGAAAAAAAAGTATTGATTGGATGAGTACATCCCTTATTAGGAACAGTTATTGAAGCACTCCTTGATAAACTATGATCCCTTCATCATAACCATGCCAATACAAATAAAACATTAGTGTTTTGTTGTTTTTGTCATTTTTTCATTAACTACACAGTTAATAGTAGTATACTATATATTATAGCTGAGTAGTAGGTGCCTGTCTCTATGCTTTCACTGTTTCTTTTAAATTTATTTCAGTATTATGCAGTTTCATCTCCTGTGTTTGTATTCACTTGGAAAGCATTTTGGACTTCCTGACCTGTGTGAACCCCATAAATAAAGACTGACTGATTCAGGTTCAAAACCACTGATGTTTAGATTTGAAAATGCCTCCAACCATGAACATTTCATACTGACATGATATGATATGATATGATATGAAAATAAGCTAACAGGGACTTGAAACATGATTAACATCATTGTTTTCTAAGTGACAGATACATAAGTTTGTCTTATACAAGTTTCAATTGAAATGAACAGAGACAGTTATAATGATGCATCAGAAAATTTATCATTCCTAATTTGAAAACAAACACTGTAATACTATCGGAACATTACGTAATCATAACATCACAGACATCAGCATCAAATTTCTCTCAAGCCTTTGACATTTATGAAAACATTTCAGCAGTAAGCTTATACTTCCCTGCTGGCCTGGACTAGGACAGCTAAGATAACATCTTTATTTATATAACACTTTTCAAAACAAAATTACAAAGTGCTTCACATAGCAAGGAGAGAACACATAAAACATGTAGTCTCACTGTACACCTGTCCTATTTCTTGTTAGGACAAATAGCTAATCAGCCAATCACATGGCAGCGTCTGAAATACATTTAGGCATATAGACGTGGTCAAGACAACTTGCTGAAGTTCAAACAGAGCATCAGAATGGGGAAGAAAGAGGATTTAAGTGACTTTGAACGTATTTCAGAAACTGCTGATCTATTAGGATTTTCACGCACAACCATCTCTAGGGTTTACAGAGAATGGTCCGAAAAAGATGCAATATTATATGTATAAGTGGCCAGTTGTGTGGACGAAAATGCCTTGCAAAAGCAAAATTGCATGACAATGACCTGCAAATCCGACTGGTGAGGAAAGGGCAGGCAATTATTAGAGATGTACTGTGAAACAAAAATGACTGTACCTCTGGGTGTGAGGATGCTGCACCATATTACAATATGTAGAGCACTCTGGTGATGTTTTGTGTTGGTATTGTAGTTGTCGGTTGGTCTGTTGATTATTTTATGGCACACTAACAATTCCAGAAGGATTGATAAATATCTATCACTGTCATAGAGGAGTAAAGAAATCAGAAAATATTCACATTTAAGAATCTCGAAACAGAGAATTGTGACTCTTCATCCTTGAAAAAAATACTCAAACTGATCAATGGATTATCAAAATAGTTGGCGGTTAATTTTATAGTTGACAACTAAATAGATTAATATACTAATCGTTGCAGCTCTATGTACCTGTATGCAATCACACTGTCCAACCAACGGTTTGACATAGGAGGAGACTAATGCAAGAAATTATGAAATAGCATTTGTTTATCTGTATGTACGTGTTGCTCTCTGGCTAAGCTCCTTCTAGATGAGTTCATCAGCCTACATGTAGCACTGTACAAAATATAAAATCGCTCATAAATGTTCATGTTTCAAACAAGCACTTGTGAATTACTATCACGCACTTAAACTGTTGAACCTCACAGGAATCAGAGCCACACGGACAAAGCTCACTGCTGTGGGATGTTACTGTTATGCTAACAATTCAATGCCCAGACATATAATTAACTACCCGGGACACCACTGTTCAGTTTAAACAGTATAGTACTGCTAGATTATCTTGGCACTTAGGTTTAGCAGAAAACAGATCTTGTGACCCATCTGTACTAGACCGAAGAGGTCTCTGCTGCTGTAACTGATTTGGCTTCTGTTCACGTCGTCCTGCATAGCACAAGCCATTTTCAGCCGGATGACACCACTGAGAAACCACCTCTCTGACACCCCCTACCTCCCCACCCACAATCTCTTTCTAGAGGCTTCGTTCAGTGTTGAGATCACTGTCCTATAAACACAGGCCCAGACATGATGCAGGACTTATTTCTAACTCAGCCTGTCGGTTTAGCTCTGTTACCCTACTTTAGGAAACAATCCCCCCAAAGGGCCCTCTGTCCAGATCCAGATCTATATCTGGCCTATCAGTATATACTCTCCAGCGGTGTTAAGATTGTGCACGCTATCACCATGGAAACTCTGCTAAGCTGACAACAGGCCTATAATCCAACAAGCATAGCACTTTATACTTTGGTCTTGAGAAGCGCCCTTAAATAAGCTGAGTCTGCCCCGGCTGACGGACTAACACCGCTGTAAACTTGGCTAACGCTCCCTCTATACACCAACAGGCCTCACCCCAACAATGCACTAAAGCCTCCTAATGCAACAGCACTGACTTACTGGCTCTAACAAATTATTGCTGTCTAACACAACAATAACAAAGTAGAGGCCAAGTGCAAATTACTCCAAATTGACCAGATAATAGGCTTAAACATCCTATCATAATAAATGCAATACAACAGTAATACTCTCCAGACTGTAAACGCAACTGAAGACAGAGCTTGTTAATCAAATGTTGCTGGATAAAACATTTTGAAGCTTACAATATATCGTGTGTAAACCACCTTTTCCTGTGTGCTGCTTTTGTCCTGCACCTACACCCAACTGGGGTTGATTCTTTGCTAAATACCTCAAATCTGCTCATGGTGTGAGGAGGATCTCTACTAAAAGATCCCCAACAAATGTCCTCTATATTATCACAATAGTTCCTCGTTTCCCTTGTCATACAAATCCCTTCCTTTGCATGTGCACCGTAACATGCAAACGCTCTTCTGGGTCTTCCAATGGAGGGCTGTTTTCCTTTTCAGATTTGTAGCAGCTGGCTAACAATGCAGGGAGGGGGACGTCCCTGGACTCATACCTACTCTGCACCGCAGCTAGTTCAGCCACCTTAAACAGAGCAGCTAGCAGGACTAAAGTAAAGCAACATCTGAAGGCCATAACAAAAAAAAGGTACACAGGCACCAAGATGAGATATACCTTCAGCCTTTTATTATTTCACAGAGAGGTGTGACGTTTCTTGGTTTATTTTCTGAAGAACTCATCTGTGGTTGACACTGCTCATAAACACACCTGCAGTTTTAGAGGCCATGTGTTGTGATGGTGTTGTAATGCCTTAAATGTAAGGTGAACTGTACCTGGTGTTATGTCAACAAAAAGCTAGCTTTAACTTCACGAGTGTTGGAGGGCTGTCGAATTGGTTTGCACAGTTGTACATTTGTAGATGATATATCTACCTCCTGTATGTGTGCGTGCCGAAAGCCCCTTCTTTACCCAGACACCTGAACCCAGCTGGGTTGTGTTGCAAACATGAAAGGGGGCCCAGTGTTCCTCTCTTTCACATCACCATTTACACAGCGGCTGACTGACAGCGAGGGCTACAGCTACAGCAGCTCTAATGTTCTGGGAAAAAGTCTACTTAATCATACATCAAGATGAAAACTGTTGCAACTGCATGAAGAAAAGAAAAAGGTTCTCACCTTGTCCAGGAAGCAGAGCTTGTCCTTGGTCCTGGCATCCAGTATCTCCACCTCAAAAAAAACAACAGCCTTTTTAGCTTTTTTAGCAGGTTTGCGTTTGACCGGGGCTTGAGCCAGCACTGGGGGGACAGCAACCGTTGCCGCCGCCCCATTAGCGGGCTTTTTACTGCCAGTGGCCTCTAGTGCAAGGGTATCCATGTCCACAGTCCTCCTCCTGCACTCTGTTTATTCCTGTCTTCTCCTTGCTCTTCCCCACAGCTCTCTTGTCAATCTTCTCAACTGTCTATCCAAGATCCACACCAAACCCTGCAGGGGAGGGGCAGCCCTCAGCTGTGGAAATAAATCTGTCTCTCCTCTTCCCCTCCCTCTTCTTCCTCCCTGTCATTCTCTCACTTGCCCGCCCTCCCTCATTCCTTCACTTCTGGTGCTGCTGCTTTATTTAACTGCCAGTCGACCCCTGCAGCGTGGTGGACATATGCCACATGTGTGTGCACAGTTGCATACACAGGAATGCCCAGTATTCCCCTGGCAAACTGTCTACACTATATCTGTGTTTATCACATGAAGGAAGCTTCTGGAGCAGGGAGCAGTCGAGCTGCAGTGGCTTGGTTTTGAAACATAACCCCTCCCTAAAAAAAGGAACACCTGATGACCCCTGACACCTCTCAACTCCTGGCTAAGTGGGAAGATGGAAGAGAGGTATTATGACAGACAGCACCCCCACTTTCTGACTTTGACTCCTTCCCTTCTTCTCCTCAGCTAAATATAAATGTCTACTGCTAGCTCTATGTTAAACAACCCTATCCCTAGAGATCCCCCCCACCGCCATCTACGCCTATGTGGTAATGGCTCACGGTTTAAGACACTTTGCTGTAGTGTCCTTCTGTCGATCTACAGCCCTGATGTACATCGCCGACCTTTGATCAGACACCTGAATGAACCAGTTTAGGGTCTCTCTCTCTCTCTCACACACACAACTTTTTACAGCGTGTTATACCTTGAAACCAAACTGAACAGCCAGATCTCTCAATCACTCACATGGGGAGTCACCCTTTCCTACCACCAAGGGGTGATAATACTCCAGACTCTGAGGGCTTACCCAGGGCATTCCCCGTGGTGAAGCCCATCCCCGCTCCTCCACTCCACATCTGACACAGATGCCATAATGAATGAAAGACATATAGTCACAAGCAGCAACATGGACGTTTAGGCCGGCCATGCATTATGTTTACGGATGTGAATACATGAATATATAGTATTCTTTTCTAAAGCTTCAATCAGTGTTTTTTAAATGAATTAACTGAGCTGCCTTATAACTGTACAAATGAAACATTCACATATGCTTAAAAATCAAGCAGGACACCTGACACTCCAGTTGAGACTTCGGGGAAATAACCCCATGTCAGTCTGCTCTGTGCCAGGCATACGCTGCCCCTGTACCTCCCCCATCTCGTCTATATAAAGCCTCTGTCTACCACTGACAGTCTGTCCTAGTAATGCACTCTGCGGTGAGGGTGAAGCAGGGAGAAATAAGCTTTAATAGCGATTGTGCCTGTCTTTTCTTTTTGTTGGTACTGCCTGTTCTTCATATCCCGAGGTAAGAGACCATTTTTGAAATCTGTAAAGATGACCTATTTAGACAGACAATCAGAGCACCTGAAAGTGTTTCTTTGCTGTTTTTGTACACAGTGCCATGCAAAAGTGAAGGGCATCGATGCATAAGCAAGACAGATCACTGTGAAAGTTCACTGAAGCAGCTCTCTGGTGCTATCTGCTGTAAGTGCAGTGAAACTATGAATAAGCTTGTCTAATGACCCAAATGGAAAACGTTTAAAATTTTGATTTATGTTCCAACATACTGAAACTAGTTTGATAAAGTATTTCTCATGTAGCTGATATGTTGTGCCAATTTTCAATAAGTACAGATAAAAAAAAAACCCATACATTTTAACTTGATTTGATAAAAGCATTGAAGAACATGTCTCTGGTTGGTGGTGTCAGCCATAGTCCACACCCAGCAATGACCAAATTTTTGTATCTTCAATTAGCACACTTGTCAATGATAATGCTGTAACAATTGATGATTCAGTTATAGCCACATCCTCTAAAAACTTTGCACCCACATGGTTGCATAATGGTGCAACACCATATGCGGTGACCTATTTTAACTTAAGTGTACTGCAACCGCAAAACTTTGTACCATGGTCACATCCCACATTCACACACATACTACCGCATACAAAAACTGACTTCATAGAATTTTGTTATGGTCATAAATTTTCATATTTGTAATAGCAGGCAAGAATAGTTGCCAGTTATGTTGGTCTGTCTGTAGAGCCCACATCGTCTGCCAATATGTAGTTTCTTCCAGGTGAATTTCACAGAATCTTTGGAGTAACTGGGTTCACTAGTTACAATGTGGGCACATCTAAGGCTAGTGGTATTCAAATGCACCATGGAAGTGACTAACTGAGTTAAGAAATTGATAAGAGAAGATGGCCATGAAAAATAAAATAAAAATCAGACTGATTAGGGGTGGCTGGAGTGGAATATGACACATTGGTCAGTACAAATAAATTTGGACACCAATGCAACCATAATTTTATGATAAATGGCATATAGAGCTGTCATGGAGAGGGGAAAAAACCTTCATGATTAAGGTGCATATTTACCTCTTCGATGTGTTAGGATCGAGAAAAAAACTTAACTATGTTTTCACTGGCCCATCTTACATTATTCAAATGTTGTTTCACCCCTGATAGGCTGCAAAAGCCACGTGTCAACAGAAAGACGGGGAACCGGAGCAGCCACTGGTTGGGTTGTCAGACTACTTCCAGTCCTGTCTGATGGGTTTTGGTGTTCTTTCCAAGTAACTGTATTTAACACTACAAGATTCTTGCTTGAGTACAATGGTTAAGTAGCACAGGAAAATGTTTGCATGAAGGTTAAATTAGCATTAGTCATGTGTGAACAGTCAAGCTTGGATGTTTCTGAGACAGTTAGCCCCAACATGTTTTCCTTCAGTCTATGTTTCTCTCATCAACTCAGGGTCTGACTGATTTTTCCATGTTAAAAATGTTCATTGTCACATGCTGACATCGCACACTTGACTGTTCACCTGCATTATTGGGTAATAAGAAGATAAGAAGCGCCATGAGTCACTCCAGCCAGAGATGGCGATGATGCCGAGCATTGTCCCACACAGAGGGACCTGTGTTTAGAGACGGCCAGCTTATGTTGAGGACCTAACATATAACACACAATCATACACAGGTATAATTCACCATAATTGTGGGTGCAGCTTGATTTTCGAATACGATATTAGCTAACACAATCCTTCATTTCCGGCCCCTGAACCCCGGTCATAGCAACCAGCCCATGACAGGCGGTGTTGCAGCAGCATGCCATCCTGCTCACGTTTAAAGCTATTAATGACTTTTCTGCTGGACTCTCAGACAAACCACCGCAAGATGCCGAACTGGGTTGATGAATTAAATTCTGGACCCATAAAGCGCCTCATTGAAGATTTAACTAGCATTTCACGGATACTACTTACCTCGTAGTGCTTCATCTTGGCAGTTTGCAGCCCCTTCCTTAATATCCCAGATGACTGACAGAGCCGCCTCCAATCAGCGGAGTAATATGCAACTGCTGAGGCCACTGTGGGCGGGCACTACGTCCGTGTCGCAGCTAATGAAAACCGGTGGGATTCCGGGGACCACGCCCACACTATCAGCGACGTAGCCAATGAGGTTTGAGCGGCTATGCTAAAGGCTCTGTGGCTAACATAATTGGATTTATCCAGGTAGGATTTATTGCTCTTTGAGTAGCAGCTCTGTCCGTTTGTGCACATGCGTACTGGTCCAACTGGCAGACTGTTGGGCTGACTGCTTGCATTTTTCTCTTTAGCTGTATAGAAAATAAATTCATTTTCAGGCTAAATTAGGCTACATATTTTTATTCTTGTTGCAGTCCCTCAGTTTTATGCTTGATTATTTAATTGTCTTTTTCCACATAATGTGTTATTTTACTTGTTTAAATGCATTTCTGTGTTTTCTTTCTTTTCTGTACAAATTGTCCTACATAAATAAGCTTTGCAGTCTGCCTGGTGTGTTGTCATTTAATCTCAAACTAAAACCAATACTGATTCTAACAAGAGTGAATTGCTATGAATTGCTTGTAGCCTATTAGTCAGGCACATTTACCCAAAAACTTCTTGTCCAGTAGCAAAACAACAACAGTAATGACAAAATGAGGACACAGCAATGTGAAATGATGTTGAAACATATTTTATGAGATAACAATTTTGGCACCTACCTGGCCAAACATTAAATTATGTATTTTATTACAGGTTCTATAGGTCTATAAAGCCTGCCTGCAGGTCTTATATCTCCAAAAGGTGCCATAATTTTCACTCTTAATGTCCAGTACAAATAACTACAGGGCTACATGTGCATGTAGATACTTTGAATTGATACCATAAAATATACAAAAGCGTAGCTAGGAATATGGCCTCTCTACAAAAATAATGTTCTGAGCTCCACCTCCTTCTGTGATTTGGTTGGGTCTGCAGAGCTGCTAACACCTGCAGTGATATTTCAAATTTTAACTGCTGATGCCACTCTAATCTCTGAAAAACAGGTTTTGACAGAGACAAGTATTCCATACACGTGTCAAGCTAATTTCAACTTTGTACTGCAACTTACTGATTAATTTTCAAACAACCTAAAATACAATAATTGTAGGGAAATGAAACACAGCTGAAGAACACGTACTGGGATTCCTTTCTTGTGTCCATGTGTTTGACTATGCCTGGGAGTGTTTATTATAAGGGTATAATGTTACATCCAAATGCTTGTTTACTTTATCTTTCCTGAAAACATTTTCTGATTACGTCAATACCGATAATAAGGGTGTACAAAGTTGTATGCTTGAAACATTATTAACATCACCAAGACTATCATTATCACAGAAATACCCTGAAATATTATGTTATAATTTTAGGCCCAAATCACAGACCCCTAGGTTCAAGATGGCAATAGTAATAGTAATGTTGTGCATTTGCTACTACAAATATCTGTACCATTATTCATTCAGTCTATAGCAACATTACCTTTACTGTCTATATGTACCTCTGTGTGTATATTGTTTAGGCTCTCTCTCTCTCTCTCTCTCTCTCTCTCTCTCACCCCCAACCGGTTGAGGCAGATGGCCGCCCACCCTGAGCCATGGTTCTGCTCCAGATTTCTGCCTCTTAAAAGGAAGTTTTTCCTGGCCTCTGTCGCCTAGTGCTTGCTCTTGGTGGGAATTGTTGGGTTTCTGAAAATAACGTCACAGAGTACGGTACCTGCTCTTTTATGAAAAGCGCTCTGAAATAACTGTTGTTGTGATTTGGCGCTATATAAATAAAACTGAATTGAATTGAATTAGATCAGCTCATGTAATACAATGATCATTTGAACTATTGTACTGTACTGCAAGCACAAATCTGTTTAACAATCTAAAAACACAAAAACATAGATTTCAAAACTGTAGGCCTATACACACAGTAAGGTAAGATGGCAGCTATCTTTTCTTCTTTGCTTTTTGCCTTCTTGCCATCTTGAAAACAGATTTGGTCAAGCCAGATAAAATTGACATTTATGCTTCATTGAAAGTACATGTTTTACCCAAGGTCTATGAAAATGTGATCAAATTTGTTTTGGAGGACTTTGCCACATGTTATGCCCTGCATCTTACCTGTTGTGCAGAGCACTACTAGCCAGTAAGCAGGGGATTTAGTAGTCTTGAATCTGGGCCACACCCAAGCATAACAAAAGCACCTTCCAGCAATCTATCCAGTCATTTAGGTTTGGTAGGATTCAGTGAGGAGAATCATGTCTGTTTCTCTTTTTTTCACCCAAGGCTTACACAACACATATTTTTATGCTACTCTTTATTGTGGTTTCTCCATTATTCATGGCGTTAGCAGTGCTTGCTTGTGATCTGCCATGTCATTAACGTCCATAGTCACGTTAAATTAGGTATAGAACCTATCCTTTTACTTCATATAGGAACACACTCTTATATGAATAACGTTGAGCGCATTAAACACTTGTTTAAAAGCAGAGAACATGTTCTCGTTGTAGTGTTCATCGCCACACCGAGTTGTGGGCGACTGATAAGGCATGGTATGTTACTGTGAAAGGCGTACGTCCGACAGCACCTGAAGGCAGCGTGCCGTGACGTACCGCTGGGCGTGTCTTCGCTGAGCTGTCAGTTGAGATTGTTCAGGCTTGTTATGGAAAACTCTGGAACTTTCCGCGCGGTTTATAAAGCAAATGTTCGGGTGCAGCGCTGCGAGTTGAGACAGAAGACGGGCTGAGGACGTGTCCCTGACTGAAGTCGTAAATAACTGTTTCTGAACAGCTTTAACGTTTACTAAGGAGGCCGCTGGATGGTAAAAATGGGTAAAGACTACTACGACATTTTGGGAATTAAGAGAGGAGCGTCGGATGACGATATTAAGAAAGCTTACCGTAAGCAGGCTCTGCGCTATCACCCCGATAAAAACAAGTCACCGGGAGCCGAGGAGAAATTTAAAGAAATCGCCGAAGCTTACGACGTTTTGAGCGACCCGAAGAAAAAGGACATCTACGACCGTTATGGCGAAGAAGGTAAGGTTTAACTTGTGTATCATTAATGTTAACGTTACGCGGTGACATTATTGACTCGGTTCTGGGAGTTGAACTAAGTTAGCCAGTTCAATCGTTAGGGTTCATGTAATTCTGTGGTTGTCAATAAGATACGATGGTAACGATATCTAACATGCAAGAGACTGACGTTAAACCGACGCTGATGTGCGTGTAATGGCGCTCCCAGCTCCTCTCTGCTCTGTCCTTCAGCCAGAAGGCTTGTTTCTGAGCCAGGAAAGGCGAGGCTCTGCCGACAGTCACAAGGAAACTCACAATACATGTTTCTAGAAGAACTCGACAAGAGACTTAAACTGAACACAGGTGAAACTGAGTTTAGGAGCTGGAGGGACCCATCTGTTTGGGGGGGGCGTACAGCGTGCTCGCATTTGGATGTTATGCTGTTCATGCTGTTGTCAATGAAGTCATTGTTAATTTTGGTCCATGGAAACCTGACAGGTGGGGCAGTGTTACTGAAATGTAACTGTTACCGATATACTTAGATTTTTTTTTTTTTTTTTTTTTTACCAGTTTAGTAACTTACAGAAGGCCAATATGGCGCCTGATATGTTACCATGGTAAAATCATCATTTGGATCAACATTTCATGGATCTCATGTTGTGTCCTCACTTACTAACTGTTCATTTACAACTTGCACTATGACAACACTATAAAACAATCAGTGCAAGACATATTTAAAACCTATACCATCCACATTCTACTTGCCTGACTAAAACATGTTCATTGTTGTACATTTCTTGTATCAAACCAAGGGAATGTTTCAGCAAAACACATATCAGTACTAACATAAGTTAAAAGTTGACCCTGTGAGGACAGTTAAGAATATTGAATAGATCTGGCACTGTTCACCTCACCTGCTTTACCAACTCACCCATTTCATGTTTGCAACATACACACTGATTTGGCGTAGTGGTCTTTAGTGCTCCTTAACATTCATCCTGGTAATTTCTTAGCTAAGAACATTTCCAAATAAGAAGTAACTTCAGCAGACAGCTTGACAGCCACCACAACAGTTATCGTTGTAGGAGTTTGTAGGTCTGTGCCACATTTATGGTGGTGTCTGTACACAGTGAAGCTGAAGGTGTCAGGTTTTTGCTGCCACAGATGAAGAGCAAATATTGAGTCTTAATTAATTTCTGTTAAAATGGCTATGTCAAAATTGTTTTGTTGTGTCTGTGTTTTTTTTGTTTTCATATCAGTGTGTGTACATCCGCTTGTTCTCATTTTGGGAAGCAAACAGTATGGATGCACTCAATCAGTGGTTGACTCCAGACTAATAAATATATATTGGCCTGGGGTATTCACCTGATGTATCAAATGACAATATATTAATGTATTGTGCCTCTCACTCAGGTCTGAAAGGTGGGGGACCCTCAGGAGGTGGTGGTCCTGGCACCTTTAGCTACAGCTTCCAGGGCGACCCTCATGCCATCTTTGAAGAGTTCTTCGGTGGACGAAACCCCTTCGGACAGTTCTTTGGTGCCCGCAATGGAGGCATGGATGAGGACATGGACACTGACGACCCTTTTGCCCGCTTTGGGATGGGGGGCGGTGGAATGGGGGGGTTCCCTCGCTCCTTCAGTTCTGGAATGGGGGGAATGGGCGGTCACAGTAGCGTTGTGAAGAAGCAGCAGGACCCCCCTGTTGTTCACGACCTTCGGGTGACGTTGGAGGAAGTTCTGTCGGGTTGCACAAAGAAAATGAAGATCTCGCGTAAGAGGCTGAACCCTGACGGGCGAACGCTAAGAACAGAAGATAAAATCCTGGAGGTGCAGATAAAGAAGGGGTGGAAAGAGGGCACGAAAATCACTTTTCCCAAAGAGGGGGATGAGACACCTACAAACATTCCAGCTGATGTGGTCTTCGTATTAAAGGACAAGCCACATCCGGTATTTAGACGCGAGGGATCTGACATCATTTACACAGGGAAGATCTCACTCAGAGATGTAAGTTATGATTACAAATTGTTCTTAAAAAACACATTGTAAAAGATCTTTAAGACAAACGAAAGAACTGTTATCAGCTGAAGTGGAATAAGTTCCTATGATGTTAATTGATGTTTCTTTTCTTTGTATTTCCCCTTCTGTCCCATCAGGCCTTGTGTGGCTGTACAGTCAATGCACCCACACTGGAAGGCAGAACAGTGACCGTGTCAACAACAGATATCGTGCAGCCAGGGATGAAGCGACGCATTAGTGGCGAGGGGTTGCCTTATCCCAAACGCCCTGATCGTCGAGGTGACCTTATAGTGGAGTACGAGGTCAAATTCCCAGAAAGGCTCAGCCAGAGCGCCCGGGACACCATCGCTCAGGTCCTCCCGCGATCTTAAAGGAAACAAAACGGACCTCCAGGACTTAAGAATTGTTACGCTAAACTGCCAACTTTATTTATTTATTTTTTTTTAAGTCAATGATCATATGGACATTCATATGGAATTATAAATCACATCAGACAAAGGACAGACTCGGGACAGATTGTGCTGTTTGTAAACTGTTATGCATGGTGTAAAAACCACCTCGGGAAAATGCTCACCATGACAGACTGCAGCATTTCACAGGCTAGAATGTAAATATGCCCAACATTGTTTGATGTTTGATTTACTGAATAAGATTATATTTTGATGGAAAATAAGTGTATTATAATATATAAAATACATGTGGGATTCTGTGAGAACTGTTTTGTTGGTAATAAAAAAAAAAAGGTTTGTGCTGAAGATTTCTTTTTGGTATAAAATTGCAACGTGAAGATTTGCATTGACTTGTTTACTTAAGACGGGACGTGAGATGTGGAGTAAGATTTTGTATTTGTTTGCATGACCAGCATTGCAGGTCATACACTACACAATGACAACGTTGCATCCAAATGAAAAGCTGTTGGGCGACTGATGTCACAACAAAAGGCAGTGCTTATTGTTATTGTTAACCACTGTTATAGAAAGAACAAAGAAATGAAAACAGGTGCTGTAAACATGAACATGTGGCCTTACAGTTCTTCACTACGGAGAGTCCATGAGGCTCTGAAAGCTACGTGTGGGAAGTTTTATCTTTCCTGCAGAGGGCTAAGGGATGTTACCAATGGCAGGCAGAGGGTTGTAGCGCATGATTCCTGCAGAGACTGAGGTTGCACTGACCTTAATTTCAAATGAAGGGATTTTGAAAGTGATCTTGTTTCATCCTAAATCATGCAAAAGTATGTTTCTAGTGTATTTAGAATAATAATGGCACTTTGGCAAAAATTCATTATGGTAGATCTTTTCTGTTTTGCCTCTCTTCCTCTATGGTTGAATTTCCTTTAGACTGTTCCACATTACCAAATTCCTTTACATTCACAAATTCTGATGTCCCTGTTGTCTGACCAATGACAGGGTCTACTTGCCTAAATGTCTTTTTCTGTTGCTAACCTCAATAAATACTGTTATACACTTATACATATTGGCTGGAATACTGTGGGTGTTTAATGCTTCCACATCATGCTTTATAAGTTGCATATTGGACTGCGACTGGCTTTAAGGAATTGTTCGTTTTATTTCAGTGTAACTTCATTACTCTCTCAGTAAGTCAGGGACGTTTGCATTTATGTCTGGCCCTGCTTTTGCCTACTTAAATTTATATAATAATATATAGAAATATATACATTTTATTTATATATAATTTATATTTCTAGGCTTTAACAAAGACTGTTTTTTTTTTTTTACTAACTTGCTGTAGTACATGTAATTCGACTGGTAGTCTTGGCAAACAGCCCTCTGGCTGTCCCCTGACCCCCGTGATACAGTCAGCAGACGGCTTGTTGAGATGCCCTCCAGCTTCAGCTACCATAGATGCACCAAGCGTGCACAATAAATGTAAACATTGAAGAGTTACACTGCATCCCAGTCACAGGCTGGTTTCTCAGAGCAGTGTGAAAGTGAGATAAGGTTCGGATTACTACTGGAGGACTATAGTATACTGTTAAAATGTAGCTAAAGAGGCACTGTATAACAGACGCATACCCACTCACTGATAACAGCAGCTGAAGACAAAACTGCTGCTGCAGTCATTTGCTGCACAATCACATCTTTGTGGCTTTTGTGGATCTTTAAGACGCTCATGTTTTATGGCACTGAATCAGATGACTAAGTTGAAGCAGACCACTGAATTTGTTCTGATACAGCAGGACAAAATTTTGTTTTTAAGCTGGAGAAAGAATGACGATTCTTCAATGCATCATGTTTTGCTGCCTCGCAGGTGAGTTTTGATGTATTTTACCCTAAAAAAACATTCAGTATGATCATTAGTATGTTTTATTTGTAAAAGTTACATTCTAAATGTATTATTAACCTTGTTGTCAACCATACAATGGTTTATGAGCTCTTTCTAAATACATCTGAGGAACTGCACTTCAGTACAGTAACTCTGAAGTTGTCTCCAACAAGTCCTTAAACATCTAAAAATAGTTTACTCTTGTGGAATCTGTGGTTAATTGAATTGCTTTTTACATGATTGTTTTATTGACAGAAAAATAACCAGCAAGTAATTCTGCTGAATTAAACAACAACAACATAAAACTGTATTGGTTCAAACTGCTTTTTTAAAAAGTAGAAGTAGTTGCTGCTGATTTTTTTTTTTCAATTTGTGAAACAAGTGGCGTCTGGTACCCCAGTGGACACTTGCCATATAACCTCAGTGTCCTTGGGGTCTGCATCTCAACTATTTAAAAAAAAAAAAGGCAAATCACAACCACTCCCTGTGTTTTCAGTGATCACATACAGTTTAATGAACTCCTCAATGGACATAAATTAGACAACATAAAATAAAAATAAAATAAAATTTTCTTTATCAGTCTAGAATATTAGGGGAAGTCAATGGTGAAAGGCCACTATTCAAACCAAGCTACAAAGCTTAATAGTTTGCACATCCAGCGCCAGCTGGAACAGAAAGAGGCTGTCCACATAAAACCAAGATCAAATTTGGTTTGTTTCTTTTTTCAACATAAGCACAGTTTCTCTGGTTGCATGGTATTGATAAAGTTAAGTGAAGTATAAAAATTACAGCAGCAGTGGTATTGTTAAATGTGCTCAAAATGTACTGATACAGACAAATATAAAATGTGCATTAACATTAAATATGTTATGAAGTTATAAAGTAGGCTTACAATGTTTATTTGTCATTATACAACACAAGGTTGTATAACGAAACTAAACTTTGTAATCCCTTCGTGCTACATGCATAGAACTATTAAAATATGGTAAATACATTTTTTTTTAAACTATAGGCTATAGACATTTATTTACATACAAAAGCTTTATACATACACGTACACACCCAGAACATTCTGCACAATTTATATAAATACATTGTCACATTACAGGTTGTAATGTGAAATTAAGTTTGTAACTCCCTTCAGCTATGTAGCAGACAACATACATTAATATAAAAGCAATTATAAAAATGGTAAACAGAAATAAATTACATTAAATTGAGCTGTGCTGAGGATGAATTTGAGTTTAAAGTCTGATAGCTTGGGGGAAAAAGCTGCTCTGTAGTCAGCTGAAACTTCTATATCTCTTCCCAGAAGTCAGCAGGGTGAACAGGCAGTAGGTTGGTGGGTACTGTCCTTTAGCATCCTTTAAGCTCTGCGTAGGCACCTCACCTCACCGATATCACTGATGCTCGGAAGGTGGATACCAATGATCTTCTGAACAGTTTTAATCACCCGCTGCAGAGCCCTCCGGTCCTGGGCCGTGCACATCCCATGCCAGTTTGTGATGTTTCCAGCCAGGATGCTCCTCTGTAAAAGCAAGAAGGCGTGGGAATTTGGCCTCCTTAAGCGTCCTCAAGAAATACAGTCGTTTCTGAGCTTTCTTCACTAGCATGGAGATGTGAGATGACCATGTTAGGTTCTCTGTGATGCTGATTCCCAGGAACCTGAAACTGTTCACCTGCTCCTCCTCAGCTCCACTGATGTAGACAGGAGTGTGTGTCTTTATCTCCTTTTTCCTGAAATCAGTGATCAGCTCCTTAGTTTTGCTGACACTAAGCAGTAGGTTGTTCTCTGTACACCACTCTGCAAGATTATCAATTTCCTCCCGATATGAAGTCTCATCGCTGTTTGAAATACAGCGGATGAGGGCGGTGTCGTCCGCAAACTTCACAACAGAGTTCTATCCATGTCTGGGGTTGCAGTCGTGGGTGTACAGCGTGAACCAGAGTGGGCTGAGTACACAGCCCTGGGGGCTCTGGTGTTAAGAACTAGAGTGAAGGGGGTGAGTCCACCAATCCGAACTGTCTGGGGTCTGTTTGTGAGAAAGTCCAATATCCAGTTGCAGAGTGTTGTATTTAAACCCAGAGTGTCTATCTATAGTGTGTATCTCCGGAGCGTTGGTACTTACACCATGTTTTCATTGACCCTAAACAAACCCACATTGCATACAGCTCATGTGCGCCTGCATCTAGGAGACTGTTCTATTTTTGGTTGCTGGACAGTATTTACCGTGAGTTTTTTAATGGAACACGTTTTAAAGACAATTACATTTAAACCGGTGATACTAACTATTGGGAATTTCACCTGATCCATAATTAAACCAGAAACCGTTTCATCCCTATAGCGGCTATTGGCCTAATCAATATATGTTATGTTAATTTATAACAATGTAAAACACAGAGAAAGGGGAACTCATCGTGATGAACCTGAATATGCACCTTCATTCACTTTTACTGAGCTTTAAAGCAAATCAGCTTATTGTTCATCCTTACAATTCTGTTTCAACTCTCTGACATAGGATCGTGGACACAAACATGACTCCAAATAAATGGTAATGTGATTGTTATTGCTGGACGTATCACTGAGAAACTGTTTGCTAACAAGTTCGCCATCAAAGGATGATGGTATGTAAATGTTCAAAACTTTATCTGTTGCCCCTAAATGTCCAAAAAAAATCAGTTGCAGGTTTAGACTAGAATTATATGTAGGCTATGTATGACTGTATTGTATGTACTGTACAGTCAAGTTGCAGTTTACATCCATGTCTGCCCAGACTCCTATAATAAATGTAACGAATAAGTTAAAGATAAGTGTGTTTTTGGCTAAATGGAAGTTATCACTATATTGATAATATTGTATTATATTTACATTTATATATACTATTATATTGATATGTATGATTACAGTGAATATACACTAATGAACTGATAAATAAAGCTCACAAACTCACAATATCACGATTAGCTAGGTGCGCTCCAAGACTTGTTTGCAGTCACGTGATTCAGATGATACTTGTAATTCCAGATATGGCAGGAAGTAAAAGGTTGAATGGACGAGATGGAGGAAAGCCCCTAATGTGCTATTTATTTTACTCATTGTGTCGTCCCAGTTAATGTGTGTGAAATTTGCCCAATTAATTTTTTTGAGGTCACAATGACCCTTGAACTTTGAGTCAAAAGTGTAACCTTCAGTGTCTAACTAAAACGTTAAAATATGTTCACAATCTCCCCTACTGTTCCTGAGTTATGGTCTGAATAATGGCCAAAAAAGTCACAGTGAAGCTGACCTTTTTGTTCATCCCTTCATTGTATCCCATTAAACATCTGTGTAAAATTGAGTCATAATTAGCGCATCTATTCTTGATTTATGAACAAAGACGTGTTTTGTAAGGTCAGAGTGACCTTTGATCACCCCATTTTAATCAGTTCATCTTTGAGTCCAAGGGGATGTTTGTGCCAGATTAGAACAAATTCCTTCAAGGCAAGAGAGATATCACATTCACGAGGTTAGGACGTACAGACAACATGAAAACATAATGCTTCTGGCCACGGCTGTCGCCAGCATGGAGGTTTAAAAAGGAAACAAATCACTACGAAATATAAAGAAGATATGACTAGTGCTGTGTGCATCCCTTCTCAGAAACTGTTACGTAATTAATTGCCATGCAGAGGTTCTGTAGTATTGAGTTCATTTGTTTTAATGAGCTTCATGCATTTTTGAACTTTGATTTAAAAACTGTAAAAACTGTAATCAGCCGCCGTAACCAACCTTTTTTTATACTGCAGCTGCGTGTGTGGAGGCCTCAGCAGTGCTGGAAGTGAGCGGCCATGTTGGAGGAGAGGTCACCGTACGCTGCTCTGGGAGCTGGACCACGGACAATAGCTCTGAACACCACAACATGTACTTCTGCAAAGAAGTCTGCTCCAGGGAAAACATTCTCATTCAGACTGAGAGGAGTAGGGCTGCCGTCACGCTGCGAGGGAGATATAGCGTGGAGGTCAACAGAGGAGACTTCAACGTGACCATAAAGAGGCTGAAGGGGGCAGACGCAGGGAGATATCACTGTGGAGTGGGGAACACTTTAAATGTGCTGTACCAGAAGATCAATCTCATAGTCCTAGAAAGGTAGGTTTTTGGTTTTTTGGTTAAATGCATAAAGGTTCCTGCAGCCCAGGATTGGTAATTGGTTGGTTTTGCATAAAACAAAGTAGATCACTGTAACATAATTGTTATGTTGTCTGTGGAGCTGTTAAACCCTGGAAACTTCTTGTCTTGTAAATACTACAGACTCTGTCTGCAGGCTAAAACCAACCACATAAAGATGGTGACTATTAAGAGATTGAAATATTGGCTTTGAACTCTTAAACATACTGAGCCCACAAGAACATTAGTCTGAAATTATGTCTGAAGTGAATCTATGTACTGTATAACTTGTGATTTGAAGGAAGTAATAACGTCATATGACAACACACACACAGACACACTATTCTCGCCACTTATCCTCCGTCCTGTCCTCTCAAAGCTTCCACTGTTCCCCCTGGATCTTCTCCCTCCACCACCCGCCTGCAGACCGAAGCACAAACTCAGCCTCAAGGCAGCTTTCCTTCCAGCTCTGAATCGGCAGCATTAACCCTGCCGGCTACAGAGGAGAAGACAAACCACAAAGCAGCAACCAAACTCTCAGGTATTTTACAGTTTAGCAGCTGGTTTCCTCTCGCAAGCTTCAAAACATGTCAGGACGACTTTTTCTTATCCTTATTAGACGAGTCTTTTTTTTAAAAGGCTATGCTCATGAAAAAGACTGATCGTTTCAATATATCAGTACTGAATGCACAGAGGATTAAACTTGAGTGATGGAATCTAAAAACACTCCATAAGCCTTGTGGTTTAAGAGTTAGTAGCCAACAAGTAAAGAGTTTGTTATAGCTGAATGTGCTGGTTTCTTTGAGTTAGATTTTTTATCAGTTTGTAAAGTTTGTTATAATAGAAATCTTGTGAGTTATCAAGACAAAGAAATACCAACTTACCGTCAGGGGGTGGCTAACTACTATATTTTTCAGGTAGTTTAATGTATGCATTGCCAAAAAGTGAGGTAGTGAAGATAAACAGAACATTGCTGAATGTCATTTGTGAAAGAGGCAGAGTTTCCACAGAGTGCAGTTTCAGTGAAAAGTAACTAGACATGTTGGGTTTTGATTAAAGGGATTTATGATTTTTATTTCCACGAGTGGCAAAAATGTGTTGTTGCTGACTTTCTCTTACCCTAAAATGTTTAGATGTGAATGTCTGTGTGCACTGGAGGGAATGATTAACTCAAGAACTATATAAGGCAGGTAGATGGAGGTGATTACAACAGAAAAGTAAATTAAAACATGTGATTGCACAGTAACTCCCAGAAAGGAGAAATGCTATTGACTAAAAGTAAATATTACTATTTCTAGGACAAAAATTGAGTCTGAGATGAGATGGATATGATGGCAGATTGTGTTGAATTATCAAATTAGGATCAGAATTAGTATTTTCAGTATGCAGAAAATCAACTGAAATCAAAACTGTTCTGAAAACAGTTTTAAGATCGGCTGTTGTTGTACAGTAAACGGTGTGGTCACCAGCACAAATGAATGCCTGGCTCTGTTGTTTGCAGATACCACAGTGGTCATCATTGTTTCGGTGAGCCTGGCGCTTCTGGTTTGTGCCGTTATACCTCTTATATTCTACGGACACTGCCAGAGTAGCGTGGGTGAGGTTACACGTACACATACAGTGTGATCTTAAACCCAAACAGAGCATTCACATGTGCATGTACACACGTTTGAATAAATCTTGTTGTGTGTTTGTTTCAGAAGATGAGAACAGACCTGAAGGAAGCATGGTGAGTAACCATTTTGTCATTAAAATGTTCATCTGTAATGACTGTTTTAAGCATTAAAGTTTACTGCTCAGATCAAATTAGTCTTTATGATGATTCTTCTCTATTTACAGGCAGATTACTGTGAGGAAAGTGCAGATGTTGCCTCTACTCAGGCTGCAGTGAGGCTTCAGTCTTTTGAACCAGATGCTGGTCAGGGGTCCAGTGCTCAGGATGCCTCCCAGTATGCTGCCATCTACCAGGCACTTGATCCCAAAAGTCTGGACTGAGCAGTTTATTCCCTTTCTGAGCTGACAGCTAATCTCACCATCTCATCTCTTTTCTGCATGAATGAATAAAGGACAAATGTTTGAATAAATGTCTGTTTGAGTACCTATTCTTCCTTTGCATGTCTTATTTTGCAAAAGAGAGTTAATTCTCAGCTTCACATTATAGTTTCTTACTATGCTAATCATCAGTGAAGTCCTGTAAATCTTCCAGAATAAGACTTAAGTCAGTAAGATTTTATCATCATATTGAATAATACTCATTTAGACACAACTGGTGCTGCCTGATGAACAGTGTTGGGCAAAATACTTCCATAATGTAATACATTATAGATTACTAGTTACTGTCATTTCGTTATATTACAATATTACTTCCTCTGAATTGTAATGCTTTACACTACTTTTGCGGTCCTTTTGAGTTACTTTGAGTAACTTTCACTGCTGTTCTGATTCTGATAGTAAGATGTGCCTGCAGAGGTGGGTCTTAGTGATGTGCAGAGTTATGTCCGGGGATCAGGTGGGTCTTTGTCATAAAAATTAACCTTTTGATTAATAGCGGGGGTGGATGAGTGAAATAGGATGAATTGTCTCCCCATTAAGAAAGAAGCTGTGCGCATTTATGCACGAGATACGGTAGCATAACGTAGCCTAAGTGATTAGCCTATTTGAATCTCCCGACACTCCGACAGGATCGCAGCAGCCTCTCTAATCATGAAAGTAGTTTAGTTTGTTAGAGCTCAAACACATAGCCTATAGAAATCTATTTAGACATGATTCATCAGGGGAGCTACCTTTTAAAGAGGAGCCGAGCTCCCCCGTAGTTTGCACAGGAAATAACGTTACTCTTTTACTCATGGATTTGTTTTTCTGGTGCCGAAAGGTTTCTCTGTGAATTATTAAAAAACACAAACAGCACTTAATTTCAGGTTAAAATGTGTTGTAACAAAGATTGTGACGGGTACAGTAATGCTGATTTTTTTTTTTAGTAATGCAGCAAAAAACATCGTATTACTTTTGTGACACGTTACTCCCAACACTTTTGATGAATTTTAAGGTGTTAAGGCCACAAGAATTTGCAGGACGAGGCTAATATGTGGCGCACACGGGTGTGGAAGATTTAAATGCATACATAAAGAGGAGATGCACATAACAATATGTAGGCTATTGCATTTCACTTTATTTCTTTGGTTTGTTTTAATTAAAATCTTCTATACACACCATTCTGCCGATATAGTCAACAAAAAATATGGATAAGATAATGGTTTCAGTGACAGAACGAAATAAAGCGCACTGCACACAAAGCACTACTGGGATTGCTAGGTCATCTATTGTTGTCAGAGTTTGCTGAGTTTAAAATTAGTAAAGTAGTGTTGCATTAAGACCTGCAGATGGTGCTATACGGTTCACACAGTCGTGTTCACTCTTTCCTCTCACAATCACCTCCTGACAGCTGTGACCATGATTCCTTTAGAAACCTTGCAATATATAGTCTAAAATAAAACAATTACAAGGCTTGTTGTTACCCGTTTTGTCTCTGCATGTCTCTCTCTAGTCATAAAAATCTGAGGAAAGCAATGCAACAGATGGCAGAGCTACATTTATACAGTTGTCTGCAGACATCTGCATGCACACACTTAAGAAACATAAAAGAGCACCAATACCATATATTTTATAATATGGTTTAGTAAGCGTTTTTATTTTTGCTTAAAGTTTTTTAATGAAATTAATAAAAAAAAAAAGTGGGCTCAAAACTCACTTGAAGTCCACGCCTGTTTTCTCGTTGCTTGCATCAGCCACTATTCTGCTTTTAATGTGAGGACTCCGGGTTGGATTCAGCCCTGTGCGTGCTCCCGAGCCTCTCTCAGACTACAGCGACAACACGGCAGCTAATGACATGCAGTCCACTAACACCATAAAACAACCATCTCACAGCAAAACACAGGCTCCACGTAACAATAAAGGTTTATGTGCTGAAGCCCATCAGACCAAACACATTCAGATGATGTCGAGTAAGAACAAGAAGTGAGCATTAGTAAAGCTAGAGAAACACAGAAAGTCATGTTAGCTCGTCGGCTAACGCCGAGCAGTTGCTAATGTTATCCGGTGCAAAGTTATATCACTTTCCACATTACTTCACCAACTAAAGCGACCCATAATAATAATAATAATAATAATAATAATCTTTATTTGTAGAGCACTTTTCAAAAACAAGTTACAAAGTGCTTTAACAAGTGTAAAGACAATAATACCCAAAAGACAATAATACAAAAACAATACAAGATAAAAGCAATGGTTAAAAGCCTGGCAGCTGAGTTCTGGACACTCTGGAGTCGATCAGTAGATTTTTGGGTTAAACAAGTGAAAAGGCTGTTGCAATAATCCAGGCGTGATGAGATAAAGGCGTGTAAAATGGTCTCGGTGTCCTTAAAAGTTAACATAGATCGAATTTTTACTATATTTCTAATTTAATAAAAACATGACTGAACAAGCTTTGTGGTGTGCTGCTCGAAATTTGAATTACTATCAAACCAGACACCAAGGTTCTTTGCAACAGGCTTAATGTGATTTACTAGGGAACCAGCAGATGGCAGTATTTGTTTTGCCATCTGCTGGGACCCGATGACCAGGATTTCTGTTTTGTCTGAGTTCAGCTGGAGGAAATTATTTGACAGCCATTTTTTAACTTCACAAAGGCAGTTGTTAAGTGAACTACCAGGGTCTGTGGATCTGACGGGCAAGTATATTTGTGTGTCATCAGCATAAATATGAAAAGAAATACCATGTTTATGGATAATATGTCCAAGGGCAAGCAGATACAAGGAAAACAAAATGGGTCCTATGACCGACCCCTGAGGCACACCATATTTAACTGGACAGAACGAAGAGACATAGTTGTTTACAGACACGCAAAACTTCCTATTTGACAGGTAGGATGAAAACCATTCTAGGGCAGTACCAGAGATCCCCACCCAGTGCCTCAGTCTGTCTAACATGATTTTGTGATCAGTGGTGTCAAAAGCAGCACTAAGGTCCAGGAGTACCAGTACTGAGCACATGCCTTCATCAGCAGACATTAAAAGGTCATTGGTGACTTTATGGAGGGCAGTCTCAGTGCTGTGGCACTTCCTGAAACCAGACTGAAACTTTTCAAATAATTTGTTATTTTCCAGTACAGTGAGCAGCTGTTTGGACACAATTCTTTCTAGAATCTTTGCAATAAAAGGCAGTTTTGAAATTGGTCTAAAATTATGTGGGAGGGAGGGATCTAAACCAGGTTTCTTTAAAAGTGGGTTCACACAAGCCGTTTTAAAATAATCAGGGACACAACCAGTAGATAGGGAGCTGTTAAAAACAGTAAAAACTTTGTAGGTATTACATCAAGTGGGCTGGAGGACACTCTCATTTGTGATACTGTTTTTAAAAGCTCAGACAAGTTGATGGGATAAAACTGGTTAAAACTCTCGTTGCTGTTGAGGGACCTCTGAGTAAGAGGCCGTGGGGGTAATAGAGGCTCGCTCTGATTGACACCACCTTATTGGTAAAATAAGATAAAAACAATTCACAGTCATCATTACTTCCAGCTGAGGCACAAGGAGGGGTTGGGTTTACCAACTGATCCACAGTCTTAAACAGAAACCTGGGATTGTGTTTATGTGTATCCTTAACTATGTTATTGTAGTTAATTAATAAATCCTTCAGACTCAGGTAATGGATATGGAGACTGGATTTTTTCCATCTGCGCTCTGCTTTCCTGCTTTCCTGCATTCCATTTTTAGGCTGCGAATGCTGTCATTTATCCAGGGTTGCTTACTAGCTTTAGACGTAGGCCTAACCTTTAGATGAGCAGTAATATTTAGTGACAATAAGCAGATATGATTGAAGTGATCGACCAGATTGTTGGTGTTGGAATCAGACAGGTGTTGGCTTTGGCTCTGAAAGAATGTGCAAAACTTTGAAACACTTTGTTCATTAAAGATGCGAGAACACACGGAGCTTGGTGAGGCGGCATGAGTAACAGGCGAATCGCAGCTAAAAACAATACATCTGTGGTCAGATATGGTCATGTCCATGTTGTGTATAACATATGTGCATTTGACGCATAACAGTTTAACATAGCACTGTAGCAGCTGGATAGAGGATTAGTGACCTTTTAAGGGGAGAGCAGAGGTTAGTGGTTATGTGCAGACTCAGACCCTTATATGGTGTCTAACAGATGCCTACACATATCCTATAGAACTGTGCCCTTATATGGATTGGTGCCTTAGTTTGCAGACTCAAACCCTTCTATGGTATCTAACAGATACCTAAACATGCCCTATATAAGTTATGTTTGATGTACAGAGAGACAGAGTGCACATCGGGCTGGGTCTCTCTCCAAGCTGCTGCAGAGCTTGTAATTGATGCTGAACTCCTTGATGTAATAAACTTTTATGATCAAGAACAGTGTCAAGCGGATTTCTTCTCAACACATCATCGCAGCATTATTGTTTGGACACCACATCCACTAATTCCACCGAGGAAATGCTGATACTCAGGGTAAAAACCAAGTCCAGTGTATGACCACGGTTATGTGTTTGCCCTTTGACATGTTGTTTGAAGTTAAAAGAAGTGGCCATATTTAAAAAGTTAGTTGCATTAACATTGGTGGGGTCATCAACATGAATATTAAAATTGCAACCACAAAGAATCAATTCTGTCATAATTTAAAACCAGAGTAGATAAAAATTCAGGAAGTTCTGACAAAAATCCTCCAGGCGGTTTTGGGGGTGATAAATTATAACAAATATGATTGGGTTGCAGCCCTCCAAGAGTGTTTAAGAGTGAGAACTTCAAAGGAGTTAAATTTATCACAGCGTACTTGACATATGACATTTAAAATTTTTCCTATACATGTTCACTAGCCCACCACCACAACCACTGACCCTCGGTTGACTAAAACAATCATATTGAGGTGGACACAGTTCAGCTAGCTGGCTATAGTCATTCATTTGCAACCAGGACTCAGTTAAAAACATAAAATCTAGATTTGCAGACAAGATAAAATCATTTAAGATAAAAGTCTTACTTGGCAGAGATCTCACATTGAAGAGAGCCATTTTAAATTAGTT